AGCAGCAGCAGCGGAGGTAAAGCCCAGGCTAGCAGCAGCACACGACATCCGCAGCAGCAGCTACATGAGCAGCAAAAAGAGCGAATAATTTTTCAGGAGCAGCAGCAGCAGCAGCAGCAGCAGTATTAGCAGCAGCAGCAGCAGCAGCAGTATTAGCAGCAGCAGCAGTAGCAGCAGCAGCATTAGCAGCAGCAGCAGCAGCAGCAGCTCACTGTGCCATTTTATTTGACTTCTGCTTCTCTGGTTTTCATTTGTCTTTGCTGCTGCTGCTGTTGCTGCTGCTGCTGCTGCTTGCTGCTGCTTAATCTGCAGCGAGTCTTTCACACCCTTTTGCTGCTGCTGCTGCTGTTGCTGCTGCTGCTGCTGCTTGCTGCTGCTTAATCTGCAAGGTATCGGCAGAGGCAATGCCCATTCTGCTTTTGCTGCTGCTGCTGCTGCGTTTGCTGCTGCTGCTGCTGTTGCTGCTGTTGCTGCTGTTGCTGCTGTTACTGTTGCTGTTGTTGTTGCCAAATCTGCTGGTGCTGTTGCTGCTTTTGCTGCTGCTGCTGCTGCATTTGCTGCCGCTGTTGCTGCTGCTGTTGCTGCTGTTAGTGCTGTTGTTGCTGCTTCTGCTGCTGCTGCTTTTGTTGCCGGATCTGCTGCTGCTGCTGCTTTTGCTGCTGCTGTTGCTGCTGTTGCTGCAAAATCTGTTGCTGCTGCTGCTGCTGCTGCAGAGACAAGTGGGAGCAAAGAAGGCGGTGGAATATGCGGAAGGTTTCTTCAAGCCCCCCGACTAGGGTTTAGGGTTTAGGGTTTAGGGTTTAGGGTTTAGGGTTTAGGGTTTAGGGTTTAGCGTTTAGGGTTTAGGGTTTAGGGTTCGTGGGGCCCCTGAAGTAGCGCAGGGGCCTAGGGTTCGTGGGGCCCCTGAAGTAGCGCAGGGGCCCCTCAGCTGCCGGGCTGCTGCTTGCTGCAGTTCGTCTTGTCTGAATTGTTTGATTAAAACCAAAAAATAAAATAAATAAATAAATAATTAATTTAAATATTTATTTATTTATTTATTTATTTATTTATTTATTTAATTCATTTCAGAAAGCTGCCGCTGCCGACAGAAAGCCCCGAGCTGCTGCTGCTGCTGCTGCTGCTCTGCATGCATTTTGCAGCAACTGCTCTTTTTGTCTTTTCTTTATTTCTCCAATTAAAAGAAAATAAATACCATTTAAAAAGTTTTCTTCAAGTTTGCTGCACTCCAGCTGAGCCCTTGCTGCAGCAGCAGACAGCCGCCGCCGTCTCTGCTGCTGCTGCTGCTGCTGCAGCTGCTCGCGCTTACTCTGCTGCTGCTGCTGCTGCTGCTGCTGCTGCTGCTGCTGCTGCAGCAAAACGGTAGCCTAAGAAGAGATAAAGGGAGCCTTGGCAGCTCACTGCATTCCCCACAAAGGGGACTGCAGCACCTGAAAGAGCAGCAGCAGCAGCAGCAGCAACAGCAGCAGCAGCAGCAGCGGCAGCAGCGGGAAAGCAGCCGGCGCCGAGGAGCAGCAGAGGCTGCTGCAGCAGCAGGAGCAGCAGCTGGGGCAGCAGCAAACGCAGCAGCAGCACCAGCAGCAAGACACGCGCAAAGACAGAGACACGAGGGAAAGTGTCTCCTTGTATGGACAGCTGCTGCTGCTGCTGCTGCTGCTGCTGCTGCTGCTGCTGCTGTCTGAGATTGCCTCCTGGAAATGCCAGAGCCTGCTGCAGCAGCAGCTGCTGCTGCTGAAAATGAGGCCCCCGCGCAGAGCTTCCTGTGTACGTGTGCTGCTGCGGTTTGCTGCTGTTGCTGCTCCCGTCTGCTGCTGCTGCTGCTGCTGCTGCTGCTGCTGCTTCTTGCTGCTGCCTAATCCATTTTCCCGTGCTGCTGCAGCGACTTGCTGCTGCTGCAGTTTGCCGCTGCTGCTGCCGCTGCTGC